TTGTCTTGACTGGGTAGTGGCTCTTTCTCGCGGTGATTTGAAGGCATCATCGTCTCCGCAGTATTAGGGGTTCCAGGTGGCAGAGCAAAATTTGAGATGTGGTCGTACATAAGTTGTATAAAGTACACAAATGCTATTAGTTTACAAATAGTAAAATATTCTTTTTAACATGTCTAGTGCCATGTTGGCTCTGGCTATAACGTGTGCGACTTTGTCTTGTCACTTAAGTTGGTCAAAATCAAGGTCGCTTTCGGAGGTGGTCTGTGGCAATTACCGATGCGATAAGCTATGTAAACATTAAGTGCGAGCCAGGCAAATTATCAATAAATGTATATTTGCGGTTGCTAACTCTCTTGTCAAAGAACATAGCTTTCCACGTGCCCTCGTTAAAACTCATGCTCCATGTGTGGCCCCAATTAACTAGGCGATCAATGCCCTCAAGGATAAGTTGATAGTCAGAGGTGTCTTTGATAACAGCTCTTAGTTTTATATTGTCAGCAAAGATTTTACACAAGGTATTTACCTGGATGTATGGTGTCATTTATCTTTTTTGCAAAAACATAGGGTTGCATCAATGCACAATGTATTTTTCTTTATTTCTTTTATTTGTACTAAGCTTTTTTTATTCGCTAAATTTTGTGTTAAGCTTCTCGAGACGTTTTTGTTAATATTCCGACAGGTAGATTTTAAAGACCATTTTTTCAGGACACAGCAGGTTGTCAGAATGTAAATCATAGTTGTTTATAACTTTATCATGTTTAGTTTTGACACATTTGCGCGCAGCAGTTTCAGCTTACTATTTGGTAATCCATATTTAATTATAACCAGGTCCTCTAAATTAAAATTCCTTTATAAAGACTTCTTTGAGAAAGCTTTCTATTATTAGCACAATCAATTCAAATAATAGCAAAAATCAATTCAAATAATAATACGAAGCAACTTGAACTTTACTTCTCACACTGTAGAAATTTTATAGAATGCTCATAATACTTAGCTGCTCATACTGCATAAA